TATTCATGCCATTATAATCGACCCATCCTCGCTACCATTGAAATTGGATTCAAGGGATATTCCAACTTCCTGAAAACGCCAACAGGGAGGTTAAAAATATGGCGAAAGATGAATGCCCGTATGACTGGTGCCAACGTGACGCTGGAAGACTTGAAAGTGAAGGTGGAAAATGCGCTGTTAATTGACGAGAAACCTGGTTTTTTAAGGTTGGTCAGTTGATTATTTGTTAAGTTAATGCCTGCAATGGAATACTTTGGCGAAACAGTATTTCTAAAAAGCCCCAGGAAAAGTGCTATCACAGATCCCTAAAATGCGCTCAAATTTACTAGTCAATCATAAAAGCGGTCAAACAAAATGGTCGATTCAAAGTTACTTTCGTGAACTTCAAAAGAAACCGATTTGATGAAGGTCGTCTAATAAAACACGGTAATGTTAAAGGCAGTGTCTTGCAAACGACAAATAAATTAGTGAGCGCTTTTTGCTGGTGTGTTAATTGAATTGTAATTCCGGAAATTTCCTGGTTTAGTCAAGTGAGTTTCCTGCTCATCTGATTTCATCAATTGAAATTTGCCTTCAATATTTCCTGAATAGCAGTCTCTCTCTATTTTCTTCTAGTGGTTTCTAGTACCTACGCCTATATGAAAGTCCTGTCAAGTGGGCGATGAAAATAAGTTTATTTTAAAGTACGGTGACCAGTTTTTTATTTAACACATCGTAACGATTACAATACACGTCGCCATTCTTAAGGAGGCATATCCTTAGGATGAATTCGCCTTGAATATAGAGGCTCGTTGACATCCACAAATAGGCGATGCCGTCAAAGACGATCTTAAAGCGAAGGAAGTTTCATTGTAAGACTATATTGGGTACCAGCCGATAGTCAATGCTTAAGAAAGCATGCCGCTGCTGACAGATCGGCAATTTGTATCCACTTAATCGGTCTACTGGAAACAAAGAGAATAATGCCTGGCCTAAGTTAACAAGCGTTTTCTTCAAACATATTCAAACGAAAATAGTTTTATGTTTGTCTCTCCTAGAGGCTTTTCTTTGCCAGTTGCGGGCAATAACTTTATCGTGCTTTATTGCCGTTTGTTTCGAGTATCTCGTACAAACCACAAACATAAAGCTAGACAGTGAAGCTATCTGATGTTTTGTGTAAAATCTATCGACTGTGGCGCAATTTTAAGTACGTCCTCCGAACTGTGCATTTCTCCTCAAGAGGTCTCTTAAATTAAAAAATATTCTATAGCGTCTTAAAGTATTTAAATAGGTATACAAAATTAAAGAAGTTTTGTCTGTAAACTTTAGCTCGCTTTCCAGCCTGGCTCAAGCAAAGAACGATAGAGAACAAGACCAAACAGCCGATGAAGAGCGGTACACGTTGCTTTTCTTTACGTGGGAGATAGGCTGCGGATACCTTGACGACGACTCCCTCCAGGTTCTCGCAAAAGTGGAGAATCGATTTAAAGAGGCCCCAAACATTTCTGATTGGTTGGGTCTCTCAAACATTAAAGCTGAAGCCGTTATAATGGACTGGATGGTTGGAGAATATGATCACGTTTCGAGTGTGCGTGTTAAAAGACAAGCGTTTCAGGGATACCAGCCAATTTATCCATCCCGCACGGCAGGTGCTGTCACCGAAGCCTCTGGCTTGTCACCATCTGATCTAAGAGAAACACTTTTTTTGTCTTCTAACTCAAACTTGCCTGTCCTAGTACAACCGGTTGTACCAATTGAAATAACCGTTCAACAGATATCGAACATCAAAATACCTCCCAACACATTTCGTTCCACTGATGGGACAAAACTACAATTGCGATTGTATGAACACATTTATCCTATTCAGTTTGGACTGGATTTTAAAGATCCTTCTGCTGCAACGGGTCGTGAAATTGGTAGCAACGGGGCAAGTTGGATTTCTTTTGATGCGACCAACGAAATCCTTCGCCTCCGTCCATACCCCGAGCACGAAGGTACACACAAATTCGTCCTCTGTGCCTACAACATCGCAAACGGTCGCGCGTGCAGTAAGTCAAAAGTGTTTGAAAAATACTGCCACTAAATCCAAATTGCATGTGAGTTTCAAAGCTTTCCTTGTGATGCAGACAAAGTATATGACCTTTGTGTTCAAAGGAAAACGATAAATTGTTGCTAGGTCATAAAATAAACAATGAGATCCTTCCCCTTATTTGCTTTTATCCGTTGCGTTAGCAAGGAGCTTTCCTTTGTGTTTAGATTTAGCCTACTTTTGGATTATGGACAATCTTGATGGAATGTGTCACATTAATCATAAATTAGCCTATTTTAAATCCATTTTACTTACCGTGTAAATAACTGAACTTGCAAAAGGGCAATCTTCGAATCACAGCAGACCATTAGTTTTTGCTTATCAACAACGTAGTTATAGTCGAACTTGGACACTTCATCGGTTATGCAGCATGTCGTTTCCTTTGGCTCAAGGCATTAAAAGCTTATCAGAGGTAGCTATCAAACTCTCTTTAAGTGGGAGCTGAAGAAGGAGAAAGCCATAAATGCTGCACACAAATGCTCCGTTACACCATGCATTCATTAGCCCAGGATGATGCCATTATTAAAACCATGCTGACTGCTTCAGCTGCTTTCGATAGCGGTTTGGGCACTGGTGAGTCATTCTGCCAATTATGCCACCAAAGTGACCATGCTTTTTTGGATCCACCCTACTCACTTTTATCCCCAGCTCTGCCAATAAAACTCTTCTTCTCAGACACTCGGCCTGATCATGCATCATTGTCAGGAATCAGAAAACAAAGTGTTTCCATTCATTTGTATGTTCTGTAAGCCAATCAGTAGAAAGTTAATGCAAATCCGAAAATTGGGGTGAGTATGCCTCGAAAACTGCTACTTTTACCTATTTCTTATTTTATATCACTAAATTAGGCGCCTTTAAGTACGGTTCAATAATAGTTAGAAGGCAAATGTGACCCATTTTATCTCCTTTTAGCCAACATCAACGTTCGAGTGAAACCACCAACTCCTATTAAGAAGAGTTCCATCGTTCACGTACCTCCAGGTTGGTTTCTTAAAATGCATTCCTTCTTTAACCAACTAGGCAAATGTAAAATTCGGTATAGCTGAAAGTTTTCTCAGCGTTTCTACCAGATACTGTAAAATTAATGTCTAGAGAGGATCTGAGGTCGCCTGTGCGTGAATTTCTATGCGAGTGCAAACGCAGTGAATACATTGCCTTACTCACGCAAGAAAGTGGTTTGAATTAAATTATCTTGGACCAGCAACCACATATTATGAGTCCCCCTTAGTGAATTTTATTTATCCTCCTTAAGCAATTGCAATTTATTTGTGTGCGTGTTCTTTCTGATTCCACCTTTGAAACGAGTCAAGTCCTGCTTTACGGAATGTTTAAAACATTTGCAAGCAAAGAGCACGTCCCTCATGTAATGCCAAAGGTAATAAACAGTTCAGATGGTGAGCTTGCGGACGGCACAACCGCAAATCGCCAAATTGATGCCATGTACTGAATCACGGAGCAAAATCTCAACCCCAAAATTTCCTCCTAAGCATTAAAATAACTGATAAGTAGTGCCCTAACCAGTTATTGCTTCGTGACTGCCCTTGTTACGAAAGTGCTTCTCCTCAGTAATCGCAAAGTCATATTTAAAATAACAAGGACAGCTTAAAATGAAAGTATCGACACTTCGTACACTTTCTTCGTTGCATTTTGGAACTCAGCACGTATTTTGTGGCTTAAAGTAAAGTAACTCCATCTGACTTTTTTCAACGGTAGTTACGAGGATGTTAAGTTGAGTGCGAGAAATGCCTAAGACCACTACTGCAGCAAGAGTAGAACTACTACGAGGTTGGTAGCTGACAAGTCTGCTTCGTGAGCGCATATTTTTGATGTTGTGTTCAAATGTTTAATGATTAATCTCTGTCTTTCAAATTCGATCAGATGAGAAGCTAAAAATAACGAAATTTGTAAGCCGATTCCCTGACCAGCAGCCTAATGGCGGGGTTAAGATGAATTTGTCTCTTACTTGAGTGATGGCCAATGCGTGCATTGGAGTGTGTGTGCATTAGATGTCGCATTTTGGTAAGCAAGTTCAGTGATTTAGCAAAGTTTTAGACACTGCAAATTGTTAATCACAACACTGGCTGGTGAGATGAGTAACAGTGCTTCATTCCATGTAATGATTTGTTCACC